ATGTGTGGGGATGGCTGTCACCCCGATGGCATCATGCCACTGTGTTTTGACAGGGCTGTGGCCAGCGACCCCCACATCACTCGAGTCCCTGCCCTCGCGGCTCAGCCAGCAGTCACAAACCCCTCAGCCAGGACAAAGGTGTCCCTCAACCTCCTCATAAGCCGGGAGAGCAAAGCCCGGCCGAATGCTGGTGTTAACAAAACACGTGGTGCATTTTTATCTCTGGAAAGCTATTTCCTATTTGTAACACTACTTGAAACTGCTTCCAAGTCTTCATTTGATGCTAGCCGCGCTCATAGATTTTGTGTGTCTTGTTTTCATTTTCCAAATATGTTTATTAAAAAATGTTCTCAGGGTAACAGCCCTTGTGGTAGGAATTTCTGTTTTGGGGGAAGAATACCAGAGTTGGAGGTTTTTTTGCCAGCAGGATGTGAAAGCTGAAGGAAATAACAATGACTGGGGCTAGAGATTTGTCACAGCGAGTTAGAATGCAAAAATTTACAGTCTGGCCATGAGACAGTCCAGGCTAAAGCCATGAATTTATAGGAAGCATTGCCAAAAGCTGGATATTATTATTTTAATCAAACTCTGTTTTACTTTGCACTAGGAAAAAAGAAAAAAGAAAAAAAAAAAGTGAATTGCTAGAGATTTGGGCTCTGTGGATAGAGGATAAACTGCAGAAGAGCCACCTCTGTCTCCATGGCTCTTCCCATCCCCACAAGGGGTGGGAAGCACACACGGCCTTCCCTGGAGACACAACAGGGATCCGGCTGCCCCAAATCTTGGAGGGAGAGTCCCTGCTTGCCTGGGAACTCCTCTCCCACTCCGTGCTGCCAGTTCAGCCTCTGCGGACTTCAAAGGAGTACCATGGGGGCCGGTCCCCTCTCACACCGACATGCCACCCAAGGCATTGCCTCGCTCTTCGGGCCCTGCGTCCAGCAAGGCTGGTGTGGGATTTTGTGCCTGGGAAGACTGGGAATGGCTTCGGAACTAAAGCCTGGGTGCGGGACTTGCAGATCACTGCTCCTCTCCCTGCAGTGCAGCCTCGGAAGTGCTCTGCGAGGGTTTGCATAAGGGAAAAGTTTCACGCTCTTTTATGCTTGCATTGTCCCGGTGACCTTAATTGGGGTGTGTGTGTCGTTGATTTTTATTTTATTTCATTTCATTTCATTTCATTTCATTTTATTTTATTTTATTTTATTTTATTTTATTTTATTTTATTTTATTTTATTTTATTTATTTTAATGGAATGAAAGAAAAGAGTTGCGTTGGCTTTTATCTGTACAGTACAGGGTCTGGATCTGCTGGAAAATTACTTGCGAGACCTCTGGCTCTCTATTTGCACAGAAGTAGCCACTTATATTTATTGCTTTACATATGGCCACAATCCAGCAAATCACTCAAGCATGCGAATAACTTTAAGCATGGAAGTAGTCCCCTGCGAGCCCGTGGGACTACCACCGCACTAAATATACACATCAAGTGATGAGCCCGGCTCCACCCTCGTGTTTCCCCGGGCGCTGCCACTGCTCCACACGCACACCCAGCAGGCCGGGGCCTTGCCCAGCGGCTCCCTCCCCGCTTGCCTAAACCTCGGTCACGGCCTTGGGCTGCTGGCGGCATCGATCGCTGCGCGCTCATCGATTTTGACCACTGAGGCTGTGCAACTCCAGATTAAAAAAATAAATAAATCTTTTTTCGTTTTCTTTCCCTTTTTTCCTTTTTCCTTTTCTTTTTTTTTTTTTTTTTTAAATTTATTTTTTTTCCTTTTTGTCTTTGTTTTTTTTTCTTTTCATCCTTTTTATAATCTTTTTTTTTTCTTTTTTTCTTTTTCTTTTTTTTTTCTTTTTTTTTTTTTTTTTCTCTTTATTTTTTTTTTCCTTTTAACCCAGAGAAAACCACCTAACGAATTTGCACCGGACAGCCCAGCCGAGCCGTATAGGGTCTGGCTGCTATATAGGGGCATCTCTTCGTGACCCACACGCACCCAATCGGGCCGAGGGGGGCGAGGGGGCAGCCCCGCAGGGCCGTGCCGTGCCGTGCCGTGCCGGACCGGGGGGCGGCTCTCCCCCTCCCCACGCCCCACCCGGGCCGTGCGGGGCCGGGGTTAAGACCGCAGGAGGGATTTGGGGGGAGGGTGGGAGCGGGGGGATGGGGGTGGCAAATACCCCGTCGCAAGGGCAGGACGCGAAGCGCATACCAAGATTTATAGGTGGACTTTACGGGACGTTTTACTGGAAGCCGGGAGAAGACCCGGTCCTCCCCGCAGCGTGCGGGGCCGCTCCGGCCGGTAGATGTTCACCTCGGGCCGACCGGGTGCAGGGCTGAGAGAAGGGGAAAAACCTCGCCGAGATCTCATGGAAGCAGACAGGGAGGGTTTTAGGGGAGCCCGGTGCGTGTACGAGTCCGGGTGCGCCCACCGAGCATCCCTCTGGACCCCGGGTGGAGAAGAGCAGGCGGGCTGCTGGGGGTTTTGCTTTGGGGCTTTTAATTTGTTCCTTTAATTTTTCCCCCGTCCCTGTCCCCTGTCCCCGTCCCGGTGCCTTGGCCGCGGAGCATCCCCTGCGCTGCCCGGCCGAGCTCCCCAAACCCGACCTCGGAGACCTTCCGAAATAAAAGTGCTGGGAATAAAGGCTTTGCCTGTATTTGGGGAGGATCTTTTTCTACTCCCCTCTATTTTCTTCCTCGAGGAGAAGACGCGGCCGTCCGGAGCGGTTAATTCCGATCCGGGCTCGCAGATAGAAAATGAAAATTTGGCAGCCGGTTAGCCCGGCGTTGGACGGGCTCCGGAGATGGAAACCCTTCGTGGGCTGTGCTGACCGACCCCCTCGGCCGGGCGCGCAAATTTCAGACGTCCCCCCGCAAAACACGCGTCCCACGGCGGGCGTTGAGCAAGGCAAAGGTGGGCTTCGATCCCAAATCGGCCCCGTCCCCATCCCCACCCCTCGGGGGGCTGCTCGGGTCCCAGCCCCTCAGCCGCGCATCCCGCGGGACGGGTCCCCGAGCCCTGCCCCGGGCTCCGGTGCGCGCCTCCGTTCCCCCGAGGAGGTGGCTTCCCTCCAAAAATGCTGCTGCGTCAATAGCGAGGGGGGTAAAAACTGTTTTATTTCGTAGGTAGAAAAAAAAAAAAAAAAAAAAAAAAAAAAAGCGCAGGTAGGGCAAGAGCGGGAGGGATTTGGGAAAACCCAGGGGCGGCAGGAAAATAAGGCGGAGAGGAGAGAGGGGGAAGGAGGGAGGCAGCGGGCACCGGGGGAACTGCGGCGGGACAGGAGCGGGGCTGCTCCCTGCACACCGCCAGGGTTCAAAGTGCGCCAGGGAAGCGGCCGAAAACAAAAGAGAGCAGCGGGCTCGGCGCCCCGCAGCCCCGCAGCCCCCCGGCTTTGCGGCGGAGGCTGCGCGGGGGTTGCGCAGGGGTTGCGCGCCGGGGTGTGGGGATGTGGATTGGGGGCAGACGGCGCAGCGGGAGGCCGGGAGCGGCCTTCCCCGAGGGCCGGGGGGGGTGTCTGGGGGTCGGGGGGGGTTGGGGGACGTTGTTCGAGCCCCCCGCCCACTGCTTCCCGCAGCGGGCGTTGTGCAGAGTCCCCATTTCGTTGTGTTTTCCACCCCTCCCCTCCAACCTCCTCTCTACGGCCTCCATTGTTCCAGGTTCACACTGCCACCGCTGATAAGGAGGAAAACCCCCGAAAAAAAAAAAAAAAAAAAAAAAAAAAAAAAAAAAAAAAAAGGCAAGCAAGAAAGAATGAAGAAAAAAAAAAAAAAAAAAAAAAAAACACCACACAACCCAAGATTTTGATTTACGACCTAATCAAAACATTATATCTTTGGTCAAGTGGCGCAGAAAAATGATGACCCTCAAGGCTTCAGCTAGGGGGAGAAAGAGAAATTCAGATTACACTCGGAGTGATTTATGTCCTCTCTGAGCGGTCACGTTGATTTTTCATCGTTTGAGCCATTACACAGTAGAGTGGAAAACTCTGATCCAATATTTTTTTTGGTCCGGAAACGGTACATATATTATTCCAAACGGGTAGATATATATATATATATATATAAGATATGTATATTCTTCCTCCGTGCACGCACGTCTTCTAAATATATATACAGGCATTTTATGGAGCGAGGGGAGGATTATAAATAGCCGATGGCACGGAGAAGAGCGGCGGGGCGAAGGCAGGGAGCCGACACCCCCGGCTCGGGGGGGGGGCTGCAGGAGGGCACCCGTCTGTCTCCGGCCCCCGGTGTCGTCCCCAGCCCCGGTAGGAGGAGAAGGAGGAGGAAGAGGAGGAGGAGGAGGGGGACATTTTCGCAAGCCCCCGGCACTCACCCTGGCGAGGTGTTGACACGGCGCAGGAAAACCGACGGGAGCGGCGTTCGCCGGGGAGGCGGCGAGGCATGGAGAGGCGGCCTCGGAAGGGGGGGGAGACACCCCAAATTTCCTCTCCCCCCCTGCCCCCCCCCCCTGCACCCCCCAGCATCGGGGGCTGCAGCTCCAGCGGCACCGCGACCCCGCAGCTCGCACACGGGAAAAGAGCACGGAGAGAGGCGGGGGGCCGGGAAAAAAATTAAAAAAAAAAAAGTAAAAAAAAAGTAAAAAAAAAAAGAAAAAAAAAAGTAGGAAATAATAAATAAATAAATAGAAGGGAAAACGAGAAGAGAGGAGGTTGGGGACTCCGCTTTTGGGTTGGGGAGAGGTTTCTCTGTGGGCCTGACCTCTCCCCCTTTTCCTCTCCCCTCTTTTTTCTCCCCTCTCCGCTCCTCTCCCCGTCCATCCTGGGCCCCCCCCGGCGGGCACCCCCCTTCCACCGCCCCTTCCTCCGGGTCTCCCCGGCCTCGGGGGCGAAACCAGCTCCGCGGGGAGGGACGGGGGACAGGGGACAGGGAACAGGGGACGGGGAGGTCCCGCACCCCGCACCCCGCTCCCCGCACCCCATCCTCCCCCGTGCGCCCCGACGGCCCCCGGGAGGCCTCGGGGGCTTCGCTCCCGGCCGCCCCCCGCGCACCTCGCCCCGTGCAGTCGCTGCCGGTGTCGCTGCCGGTGTCGGTGTCGCTGCCGGTGGTGGTGGCGGTGGTGGCGATGTCCCTGCGGCCGCCCCCCGCCCCCGCCGGCCCCTCCTGGCCGCCCGGCTGCGAGCCGATGGGAGGGCCGAGCGGCAATTCATCTTGATTTGCCTTCATTGTCCGGAGCTGGCGAACTATAATCCTGTATAATTTCACGAACAAGCAGGTTTAGAATTAATGGGTCACTATTATTTAAAACAAAACACGCGAGAGCACGACCTTTCCCTTCAACTACACGCCGCAGCGCCGAGCCGCAGGAAACTCGGGGCTAACCTCTCACCCCCCGCGCTCGGCGGGGCTGCGGTTATTTGGGCTGCTCTTTGTTTCCCTTAATGTCTGCAAGGGGATTTGGAAGCAGAAATGTAATATTACATGAAGGATCTCCCCGCTTCGGGGAGAAGGTGCTCGCAGGGGGCGGCCGAGGGGACAGATGATTTCGCACGGGAGCGGTTTGTTTGCAAACTGGCTTTGCTTTTTTGCTTTTCTTTCTTCGTCCCCCCCCCCCGTCCCTTCCCCTCCTCCCTCTCCTTTAATGTAATAAAAGCTTCCTTCACAGCGGGAGAAATTTATGCTCGAGATACAGCAACTTCGGGGCTGGCGATGTCAAATAATCCATTTTCTCGGGGCTGCGCAGGGGAGCAGTGGCAGCCCGGCCGCCCGGCGCACACAGGAGGCAGCGCTTCTCGCATGCGACTTCAGCGTGAGTTTTACCTATACATTTATTTTTTATATATATTTTTTTTCCACGCGAAAAATGCTGCCATTTATTCCCACAACCTAAACCAGTGCCCCTCAATCAGGCTCGGGGGACGAGGTCCCGTGGCAGCTAAGTCAGTCCCTGCAGACGAGTCACCGCTGCGCCCCTCGGAAAGAAAAAAAAAAATAAAAATCCAGACAAAAGCGTATGCTGTATATTTTTACTCCCATGAAATAAAACACATTTGTCATGTTCGCTGAAAAGGAAAACAAGAATATTGTACGAAATGTTATACACAGGGCATGTTTTACATTGCAATATCAGAAACATCATTGCATCCACCAGAGGTACTATTCTAAAACTGATATTCACACAATGGTTTTTTTTTTTGTTTGTTTTTTAATAATTATATGTTAGAAACATACAGTGCCGCATTTAGTATATACATTCCCTTGCTCGCAAGCGAAAAAATCCTAATCGCTTCTGTGTAACATGCTTTATTTTAAAGCCTAACCTTTTAAAAACACTGTTGTGATATTACTAACAACTGCTTTTATAAAATTAATTTGACATTTCGATATATATACATCCTTTCAGTCATTTTTATGTTAACAATGCTAAACTTAAAAAATAACAAGCTTATAGTAACATTAAAATGTCATATCATATCCAGTCAAACATTTGTCCATATATATATATATATATGTCCTTGTAACTGCTGAAATACTCTTAGCGAAAGATCTCAGAATCTGTAGGAGGTCCTTTGAAAACAAAGGAACTATCTTATTTCAGTGGTTTCCTTTTTTTTTTTTCCTCCCCCCCCCTCCTTTTTTCCTCTCTCTCTTTTTTTTTTTTTTTTTTCCCTCTCTCTGTTTTCTCCTCCTTTCTCCGCTCTCCAGTGCCCATCACTTTCTAGCGCGTTTCTCAGTCTCTGGGGGGTTTGGGGAGGGATTCCCATGCAGTGTTTTGTGCTGCTGCGTCTCACACGGGTCTGTCCACGGCGTACTGGCACGCACTCAGGTTGGAAGCGGGGTTCTGCACGCTGGCGTAGCCAAAACTGGAGTGCTGCTTGGCTTTAAGTCTCAGACTCGCCAAGCTCGAGTTACATGTGTCCCTATAAACGTACGGAGGTGTCGGAGGAGCATAAGGACAGGCTGGCGTTGGCACGGCAGAATTCAGGGAGGGGTTGCTCAAGTTGTTCAAGTTATTCAGGCTGTTGAGGCTGGAGCCGGGGACCCCGGTGACCGCCGAGGGTACCATGCTTGAAGACATACTCATGGAGGAGATGGAGTTTGGAGGGGAGAACATGCTCTGAGAAGACAGAGGGTTGACATTCATGGAGTTGAAGAAGGGAAAGCTTTTGGTGGAGAGGGAGGCGGAGGTCAGGCCCTTGGCCGCCCAGTTGTTGTAGGAGTAGCCGGGGTACATGTCGTCGTAGGGCTGCATCAGGCCGTTAAACTGGGGGCCGAAGCCGTTTTTGCACAGCTCGGCTTGCTGGTTCCTTTCTCTCTTTCTCCATTTGGCTCGGCGGTTCTTGAACCAAACCTTTGGGAACGGGGGGAGAGGGAAGGGAGATGCGAGACGCGGGTTAGTGGGGAACCATCACCAACCAGCACAGCCCGGGCCGCGTCCCCGCGTCTCCGTGCCCTACAGACACGCAGGTGGCCGTGGGCTTCTCCTCCTCCTCCTCCTCTTCCTCCACGGAGCCCGGCATCGCTGCCCCGGCCCCGAGCATCCCCGCACCCGGGGCCGCCGGGCACGGCCGGGCCCCCCGCTCCGCGCCGCGTCTTTCTCTGCTCCTTAGCTTTTTGTTCGTTTCTCTCTCTCTCTTTTTTTTTTTTTCCCTCCCTTCTTGGCTTATTCCAAACTGCAGTCGTCCAGGGGAAACACAAAAAGTGCAAAAGCGAGGGCAAAACGCCTGGAAAGCGGCGGAATTTTAAGGCAATGTTTCCTATTACGGGGAGGGAGAGGGAAGCCAGCAACTAATAAATCGTTGCTTCAGTTTGTTAAAGCTACAAGTTCCTCCTGAGCGAAAGCTTCCAGAGCCGAAAACCACTTCTAAACAAACTTGTTCGACTGCTCTTTGGCAAAAAGGAAAAAAAAAAAAAAAGGGAGAAAAAAAAAAAAAAAGGAGAAGAAGAAAATCGCCTTTTAACAACGTGCTAAGGAAGATCTAAGGGACCCTCCCCGCAGACAATGGGGGAAACGTGCCCTTTCCCAATCCACATCTGGGTGTCTGATCCGTCGGGCAGCCGCCGGCAGCAGCCTCGCTGTGTGTATTGGAGCCCCCCCGGGTGTTTACACGAGCCCCCCCCTGGCCTGGGGGGGGGGGGGTCCCAGGAGGGCCGGGGCTGCCCCGAGCCGACAGCCCCCGGCGCCTGTCCTGCAGCCCTGCTCCAAGCGGAGAGAAGGATTGAGGTGGGATTTCCTGAAAATCTGGGGGTTCGGCCCTTTTTTTTTTTTTTTTTTTTTTTTAAAAATATGATTTTAATATATTTTTTTTTCCTCTTCCCTGCAGCGTTTGCACGCGGGCAGGATCTGGCCTGGGGGATCTGTGCAGCGCGGCGCTGGGTCCCATAAATCTCGGAGGGGGGAAAGGGCGGCGAGGCGCTCGTCGAATTGTGAAACCAACCGCGGGAGCAAACGCAAGGAAGGGCACGTCGGGAGCGCCTCCGAGTGAAGCGAAAGCCCTTGTGTATTTTACATCTTTTTCTCATTAGAGGCAGCGCAGGTTGCAGCCTGTTCCAAGTCGCTTTCTTGGCTAATGTTTTCATTAGGGTTTCGATCAAAAGGAGCAGGACGCGGCGCACGGCGAGGGCGAAACGTGCAGCGAGCCGGAGTCCAGAGAGAGAGAGAAAGATCCCAATCTGTCTCGCCTTGACAGAAACGTCCCGCTCCGCGCTGCTTTTGTGCAAAAGCTCTGAAGCTGGCGTACAACCCGAAATCGAAAGCAGCTGCGAACGTCTCGGCCCCCTCCCCTTCGCCCCCCCGACCCCCGCCGGCCGGAGCCGGGCACTCACCCTAACCCTGGCCTCGGTGAGGTTGGTCCAGACGGCGATCTCCTCCCGGGTGGACATGTCCGGGTAGCGATTCCGCTGGAAGGTGGCCTCCAGCTCCTGCAGCTGCTGGCTGGTGAAGTGAGTCCTCTGCCGCCGCTGCCTCTTCTTCTTGGAGGGGTCCTCGGGCCCCGCATCCTCGCTTTTGCTCTGCTGGCTCTTCTCTTTCTCTGCAAGGGCGAGGAGGAGGAGAAGGGGGGGTGTAGGAAAAAAAAAAAACAACGACGGGACCCAAACCGAGTTCACCTCGGCCCCCGAAGCCTCGCCCCGAGAGAGGCTGGGTAAATGATTAACCCGCAGGGACGGCCTCCGCCGCCGGCACCCAAGGGTGGGCTCCCCGCGGGGCGCCAGCAGCCGCCGGGGTCGCCCCGTGGCTCGGTGGCTTGCTCGCCCCCCGGCCCCGGTCGCTCGCCCGCCTGAGCCCGCGGTGTTCGCCCGTCTGCGGCCCGTCCGTGTCCAAATCACTCGCCCCCGCATCCCCACTACTCGGCCGTCTGAATCCAGATTACTCGCCCCCAACATCCACATTACTCGCCCGTTCGTATTCGCACTACTCGCCCCCGCACACACCCTACTAGCCCGTCCGAATCCAAATTATTCGCCTCTGCATCCGCACTACTCGCCCGTCTGTATCCACACTGCTCGTCCTCTACACGGACACTACTCGCCCGTCTGTATCCAAATTATTCGCTTCTTCACCCGCACTATTCACACGTTTTTAACCAAATTACTGGCCCTCTGTGTAGAAATTACTTGCCCGTTTGCATCCGCATTACTCGCTTCCTGTAGCCAAATTCCTCGCCCTCTGCGTCCACGCTGCTCGCCCATTTATATCCAAATCGCGCGTCCTTCTGTATCCGCATTACTCGCCCATTTGTATCGGAATTACTCGCCCGTCTGTATCCACATTACGCCCGTCGGCATCCCCATTATTCTCCCATTTGCATCCCAATTACTCGCCTGTCCGCATCCACACTTCTCGACAATTTGTATCCAAATTACTCGCCCGTCTGTATCCACATTACTCGCCCTCTACATGGACACTGCTCGCCCGTCTGTACGCACACCGCTCTCCCCTTGCATCCAAACCCCTCGCCCACCCTAGACGTGTCCCCGCCGCCACCCCACACTCCGGGGCTGGGAACCGGGGCTCTGCGAAGGGCTCCCGGGCAGGGGGGCGACTTCGGGGTGGCGGCCGCTCGCCCCCTCTTACCTGCGGCCTCGGGGCTGGAGGTGTCGGAGATGGTGTGCACCTCCAGCCGGTGCTTGGCGGACTCCAGGGAGGAGCGAGCCTGCCCCGGCGCCAGCGCCGTCGCCATGGCCAGCGCGGGCTGGTGGTGGTGGTGGCAAGACGACGAAGAGGAGGAGGAGGAGGAAGGTGAGGAGGAGCACAGCTTAGTCCCGGCTCCCAGGCGCTCCAGGCTTAACGGGTCCTTCATGCAGCTCATCGGCGACAGGACGCCGGCTTGGGGGATGACAGGAGGAGGCGTGCGTGCGCCAAGGGGTGGCGGGGGGCAAGGGGGCACCCGCGGCCGCTCGGGGGGCTAGCGGCGGGGCGGCCGGGAGCCCCCGCTGGCGGGGACGGGGGAGAGGACGGGGGGGGGACGGACACGGTGGCAAGCTATCGGGGGGCTCCGCTCCGTCGAGAGCCGTCAGGGCGCCCCCGCTGCTCCCCGGCCGGCGGCCCCCGTCCCGCCGCGGGGGCTCGGCGGCGCTCGGCGGGGCGCTCGGCGGGGACCCGCGCCGCGCCGCCCCCCAGCCCCGCACCGCATCAGCTCAGCCGCTTCCCTCTTGGCCTGACATCTTAAACCGGCGGCGGCCTTCCCCGCTCGGCACGTCACCCGCGCCCGCCCCTCTCCGCCCCTCCGCGGGGCTCCGCGCCCGCCCCGCTCCGCGCCCCGCCCCGCGCCCCGCCTCGCCCGCGCCCCGCCGGGGGGAGCCGGAGCCCCCCCGGGCATCCCCACGCCGAGCCCCGAGCCCCTCGGGGGGCTGCCGGCCCCCAGAGCCCGGACCCCGTGTGCGCCCCGGCGGGGGATGCGGGGCGAGGAGGGAGAGGCGCTGGACGAGGTGGCCGGGAGGGGGGCGCGGGGCTGGGCGCCCCCGGGTGGGCAGCGCAGCCCCAACCCCGTTCCCATCCTCATCCCTGTCCCCATCCCTGTCCCCATTCCCATTCCCATCCCCATCACCGCACCCGCGCCCGCTGTTTTTCCCCTTTCCCCCTCTCGGTCGCCGACGTCCCCGGGAGATCCGCATCCTCCCCTTCCCTCCTTACTTATCGCCGAATTAGCCGTATTACTTTCGCGGGGGCTGTTAGTAAAGAAGGTTAAATTAATTTACATTCTGCTCATTATCTGGTGTTTAAATGACGTGTTTTTATCCCTGAGATTTGGCAAAGAATCTCTTCCCTCAGACCCCACAGCGTTTCGACGGAGACAATGCTCTTACATTTGTAGTGGATTTTAATCTGATAAGACTCTAATTTGCTTAAGTCTTTTAAATAGGGGGTTTAAAATGATTCTAGCCGTTTTCTTATTGAATTTCCTCTAATTCCCCCAAGATCATAAAGTATATGTGTAAAGTAAATATTTCCTCCCTTTGCACCGGCAGCAGATGACCTATAACTAAGTCAATATGAATCCGGCTCCGCTCCGCACCAGTTGTTTACCAACCGGATCCCCGTTTCTCCTCAGCCTCCCGATCCCGCCGTGCTCCTGCACCCAGAGACCCCCCCCGGGCCCTTCCCCACCGTGTGGGGGCCGCGGGCATCCCCCCGGGCAGGGGGGGAGGCAGGGATGGGGGATCCGGTGCCCCCCTCCCTTTCCTTTCTTTCTTTTTGGGGTGCTCAGGTAAGGAGCGCAGCCCCTCCGGCAGCTTTCGAACGAGCCCAATTTCTATTTTTTTTTTCTTGTATTCATACAGCTTTAGTTACTTTGGGAAAAGTAACACGGGGCCCCGGCCTCCCCTTTGGGAGAAGGGCGAAACTCCTCCACCCCGGGCAGGAGGGGAGCCACCCGGCAGCGGTAGTTGTCATGGTGACCATAAATCACGGAAATCCAAAAATACCCACCTATAAGCTCACATGAAGCTTTTATTTCCCGAGTGAAATCATATTTTAAAAGCTGTCAGCCAACCGAAAAACAACCTAATTGTAGTCGCCCAAGTAATATATTAGCGGTAAAGGTTTCAATTAAAACGTCAAAAGTCTTTTTTCTATTTTTTCTTTTTTTTTCTTTTTAATTTTTTTCTCTTGCTGGGCTCGGCTCACCCACATACCGACCGGGCCGTGCTTGCTTCTATTCTATTCTATTCTATTCTATTCTATTCTATTCTATTCTATTCTATTCTATTCTATTCTATTCTATTCTATTCTATCCTATCCTATCCTATCCTATCCTATCCTATCCTATCCTATCCTATCCTATCCTATCCTATCCTATCCTATCCTATCCTATCCTATCCTATCCTATCCTATCCCATCCCATCCCATCCCATCCTACCTTATCCTACCCTCCCCTACTTTATCCTACCCTACTCTATCCTACTTTATCCTATCCTCCCCTCCCCTCCCCTACTTTATCCTGTTTTTCCCGAGGGTTTTCCCGAGCTCCCGCCGCCGGTGCCAGCCCTGCCGCCGTGCCGGGGGGTGCGGGGCCGCCCGCAGGTATTTATTTTCCCACTTTTCCTTTATCTACTTATGGGATCATTGTTTCGAGGCGTAATACTCTCCTAAATGGATAAATCGGTTCTTCTGTGGAGTCTCCAGCTAGTCCTGTTGTCTTTTACCTTTGGCTTGTTGTCTTTCGCCTAGCTCGGATTACCGGGTATTCTCCGAGATGAAGAGCCATTAATTACCCATTCAGTCAATATTAGGAAGACTACAGAGCTTTTTACATAGGATTAAGAAGACATCAGATTGTTCCATTAGTATATTCCTACTCACGAATAAGCTTTCGTTATACATTTAGTTTTCCCTGGAGTGAGGCTAACAACTGCTGCATATATTATCCTCAGACGCCGGCGGGGAGAGAGAAAAAAAAAATAATAATAAAAAAAAGAAATTACACGTCGGAAGCGCATCGAATAACTTCTATTTTGCATTTCTATTTTGGCCAAGCTGGGCGCCCAGCGGGTCCCCGCTGCGCCAGGGCACCGGGCACCTTCTCTCCGGAGGTCTGGCTGAATCAGCGCTGATTTTTTTAATTTAATTTAATTTAATTTTATTTTTTCATTTTTCAAGGCGGTGCTAAGTTAGTGCCTAGCGAGCCCGAGGAAGGATTTTGTTTTGTTAAAAAGAGTTGAAACAATCAATTCGCGATGCCGGCTGGTGCTACAAGGCGGTGTGTAATTTCAGCGCTTTATCTCGGGAGGCTGCTGCTTCAGCAGTCCCCGCGTTATCGATTTCAGGCAGGGATTCCTCCGGCAGAGCTCGGGCACCCAACGAATTCGGCTTCCCCACGCACAACTCCGCGCACACGGCCATAATTTCAGCGTCCCCCCTTCCCCACCTCAAAGCTGTCGGAATAAAACCCCCAGAAACCTGCCAGCCCGCTGGGTGCTTCCCGAGGCGTAACCGTGCGGGGCCGGGCACCCAGAAGCCGATTTTTGGCCACCCCCTCGCCGCAGGATTATTTCCATCCCGCCGCATTTCGGGTGCCCCCCGTTTCACAGACGGCCACGGGGCCGCTTCTCCCGCAGCCTCGCCGCACTCCGGGGAGCTCCCACCCCGTTTCTCTCCCTCTTCCCGCAGAAGCTCTGTTTTGCCCCAAAATCTCCCATTTTCCCCGTTATCAGCGATAGCGCCGGCGAGCGGCTGCCCGCCTTGTGCGCCTGTTTTGCGCAATCACCTCCCCGCAGCGGCAATTTCCCAAAAGGTTCGCTGTCAGAAGAGGGCACCCCCCCCAAATCCCTGCCCGCTTGCCCTGCCCCTATATCGGGCCGACAGACGGACGAGACTTTTTCCTTTTCCGACGTTCAAGCCGAAGTCCTGGCACTGCGGAATCAACGGGCGCTCCGTAATTAAACGCAAAGCGAAGCAAAGAGGCGGAAAAAAAAAAAAAAAATCCCAACCAACCAAAAAAAAAACTAACAAAACGCGGCTGAACCCTCTCGGAATCGGAGGAAAAAAATCGCGATTTTGGTTGTGCCCAGGCGGCTGCAGATCTGCACCCGCACATCGGGAGGCTTTAGGGGCCAGGCAGCCCGGCGTTACTCCAGACTTCTCTCTTAATGAATGGCATTAAAGGTGTTTAGATAGAGATTTCCCCTCCAGCCCGACGGGTAGAAAAGCAGGCTGCCTGATACGGTAACGAGGCAGGAAATTTTACGTGTACGACAATAATCCGGCTTCATAATTGATGGTTAAGAAAATAACCATTTGTTTCTCGGCAGGGGAAGTAAAAGTTACCATGTCAGGGAGCATATGTGGCTATTACTTTTATAAATACTTAGCCGAATAAAGCTGGCGTGGAAGGGCTCATAAATTTATTATATCAGAAAGGTCCCCACTTTCCCATTAGATCGCGCTAAGGGCTTTGATTAAGACCACCTGTTCAGCGGGAGGAGAAGTCAGGGGAGGGTAAAAAGGCCTTTCTTATTTCCAAACCATATATAAAGCGATGTCACCCTTCCTTTCCACATTATTTAACACTTATTACGGGCGGAGGGAAGAACTGCCAGGGCCCGGTAAAGCCTATTTGCGCCCGATTTAATATCACGTATGTTTCCGGGATTAAAAATTATTGGCTCCTAATGCCTCCGCGTTTGGAATTACCCCGGATTTCGCTCGCTAACCTTCCTCTAGCCTCATTTCTTCCCCTTCCCGGGGCTTGCAGAGAGGCTCCCAAACCGCGCCCCGGGTCCCGGCGGGAGGGTGGGACCGGGCTGGGACGTGGCTATTCCCCAAACGCCTGCATGTTGTTCGAGCAACAGCGAGCTGTTTGGCCAAACAGGGTTAATGCAGTGTTCTTACGAGGAAGTGTTTAACCACGAGACCAGGAATACGTACATTATTAATTCAGTCTAGTTTCCCGTATTATTAATTCAGGTTAATATATTTTATTTAAACAAAATTACGTTTATCTTGGATTAAACAGTCTCTCGGAATACAGAGCGCTTGTTTTCTTCTTTGTAATGTGTTTGCATTGCTGTTTTGCTTTACCGCCCCTCGGGCTCGCCCACCCGGCTCCCCAAAAAGGGGCGCGGGAGGTGCCTGCGCCTGGGGGGTGCCGACCTCTGGGGCTGGGGAGCTGGGGGCCGCAAGGAAGGGGCAAAAACCCCAAACCGGCCGTGTGCGCGGGGGGGGGAGCGCTGATCGCACTTTTTGGGGAGCTGCAGCCGCAGCCCCCCCATCGCCCCCCTTGCGCGGCAGCAGAGGGCGCCGTGGTGCCGCGCAGGAGGGCGCGCAGCGCAGCGGAGCCTCCCGGCCCGCGGAGGGGCGCGGAGGGGCCGCCGAGCGACCACCGGGACCGGGGGGTTGGCCGGCTGCACCCCTGGGGACGGGGGGGGACCCGGGGGACGGGCTGGCGAGCGGCGGCCGATGCGCGGCGACGAGCAGCGGAGCATCCCCGCCGCGCTGCGCGCCCCGCTGCGCACCGGCCGGGCAGGGGGCCGCGGTGCAAATGGTGTGGCTTACCTAGCTGGACGCAGGCCGAGACAAGCTTACGGCAGTTGGACTCCATCACCCGGTATCTGCAAGAGACGAAGGGCGCTGGGTTGGTAAAAGTGTGCTTTCCTCACTCTCCGTGAAGAAAAAGGCATATATATACATAAGAAACAACGATAGCAGCAATAACGATAATAGCAATAACGACAATAGTAATAATAATAACAACGATAATAATAACAAGAATAATTATAACAACGACGACAGCAACAATTATAGTAGTAGCAGCAATCAAGAAGCCCAGCTGCCCAGGAGATGCCTCGCAGCGCGACCCGCGCATCTCCCGAGCGGCCTCTCCCCGCTGGGAAGCAGCTTCGGCCTCCCTCCCTCCGCCTCTCATTTTTTGGGGAGGAGGAGGAGGGTCGCCAGCCCCCCAGCCCGAGGAGCCCTGGCGAGGGTACCGGCGGGGCTCTCTGCCCGGAGGGAGATGCGCGGCCGCGGAGGCTCCGTGCTTGCCCCGGCCGGCGAGGCTTGGGTAGTAAAATCACGGGATTAGCGCCTGATTGAGATGTCTGTTCGGGAGATATTACAAAATTCATTATCGCAGCTCCCTACTAACTCGATATGAAGTAACACAGATGGGATTTTATTAGCCCAGGCTTCAAATGTTTACTTATGGTAATTTCGGGGGGAAATTTGCATGGCACCATCATTTCGGCGAGCCTCCTTCTTCGCCTCCTTGCCGACGGGTGAAGCGAGCGCGCTGCTGCCCGGCCATGCGAGCGGCCCCGGGCGGCACACGGGGGAGAGGGGGCCGGGGAAAAATAATAAGCAACGAAAAAAAGGAAGAAAAGGGGCGGAAAACGGGGAGTCCCGAGAGCCCCGATATGACACAGCGTTTCTACCCGCGGCCTGGGAGCAGCTCGGCTCCCCCGGCAGCCGGGCCTAGCGCAGGAGCCGCGCCCGATTTATTTGGGACGGCGGCGAGAAAAGCGCCGCCCGCCCCTGCTCCGGGACGGCCCCGGCTCCCCGCCGCCCTACAAAACTCCCCGGTCCCCCCGGAGCCCTGCAAAGCTCCCCGGTCCCCCCGCAGGGCACAGCCCTGCCCGGCCCCACTGCCACCGCCCGCTCCGGCCTCACCTCCAGGCCCCCTTTATTTGAGATTTTTTTTTTTTTTTTAATTTGGAAAGCGCAGCGCAGAGCGGGGCCGGGAGGAGCGAGAAACATTTTCCTATTGTCTCCTGCCCGGCGCCTCAATTAAAAGCGGCTCCGCTCGCCGCTTTCCATTCCATTTCCATTTCGTGCGCTCCCCGCTCGCAATTCAACGTTTCGGCAGCCCCACACTCGCAGCCCCAGCGAGCGCACACATCGGGCGAGCTTTCCTTTCCCTTTCCTTTTCCCTACCTGTTCCTTTTCCTTTTCTTTATCTTTTCCTTTCCCATTCCTAATCGTTTTCTTTTCCCTTCCCTTTCCTATTCCTTTTAATTTTCCTTCCCATTCCTATTCCTTTTCCTTTCCAATTCCTATCCATTTTCCTTTCCTTTTTCCGTTCCTTTCCCTTTCCCATTTCTTTTCCATTCCTTTCCCGTTCCCTTTCTTTTTCCACTCTTTTCCAATTTCTTTTCCTTTTCCTTTCCCATTCATTTTCCATTCCTTTCCCTTTCCTTTCCCATTCCCATTCCCCTTCCTTTCCCCTTTTCCCTTCTTGCTGGGCCGGCTCCGCTCAGGAACAACCTGCTCGCAGCCCGGCCACTATAAAAACTGCAGGACGCGAACAACAAAGCGGTGCCGCACGACATTTCTTCCTTTTTTCTTTTTTTTTTTTTTTATTTTTTCTTTTCACCCCCCTCCTTTTTCGTACCTTTCGCTATTCTTTCGAGGAAAACAAATCAATAAACACACAAACACGCCGAGCACCCCCGGCAAATATCTCAGCGGCGCCCGAAATAACGAGGCCGGCGATTTTGGCGCAAGGCTTTGCCCGGGGGGGGGGGGGGGTCGGTTCCGTGCGGGCCCTCCCCGCTCCGCAGCCGGGCCCCGCCGCTCCCCGGGGGCGACAGCGGGCCCAGGCCCCCCTTGAGCCCTCCGGGGGCCGCTTTTTGGGGCTGTGCGTTGCGGGGCCGGCTCCCCGCTGCCCGCCCCCCGTGGCACGGCGGGGACCCGTCCCCGCGCCCTCCTCTCCGGGGTCAAGCGGCACGACGGAGCGGGGTAAAAAAGCCAAAATTAAGCTCGAGCGGGCCGGCTGCTACCCCCCGAGCCCGGGCAGCCTCCGGGGACGAGCAGCCGTCCCCTCTGCCCCCCCCCTTCCACCCCCTTAACTCACCGGGCCGGCCTCGCTCCGCTGCTGCTGCCGGTGGTGCCGGGGGGGCGGCGGGGCCGCGGCGGGCTCCTGCGCTGGGCTGCGGGGCCGCGGAGCCTCCGCCGCCTCCCTGCCTCCTCCCGGCCTCCCTCCCCGGCCTCCCTCCGGCCCCGGCCCCCGCCCCGCCCCCGGCTTGACGTCACGGAGCCTCCTCCGAGGCCGCCAGCCTCCCCCGCGGCGAGGCCCGGCTGCGCGGCGCTGCGCGGGGCGCGCAGGGCGAAGGGGGCAGGAGCAGCAGCAGCAGGAGGAGGAGGAGGAGGAGGAAGAAGGCGAGGAGGCGGCGGAGCAGCGGCCGGAGCAGCGTTCGGTGGGCAGAGGAGACGCGAGGTGAGCGAGGACCCCCGCGCCCCCCCCCCCGCACCTCGCCTGGGGGCTCAAATCACTGCGGGCAAAGCCTCCCCGCTCCCGGTTCCAGGTGTGTGCGAGGACGAGGTGGCGAGGTGCCCCACAGCTCCCCCTTTTCTTTTAATGTTTCTTACTTTTTTTCTATTTGATGTTATTTTTAACCCCCCCCCCCCCCCCCCGGGGTGTCGCCCGTCCACGCTCGCTCAGCGCAGAGCCGCAATCCCGCCGCTGCCCCGCGCCTTTCGCCGCGCCTCGTTCACGGATGCCGGAGAGAAAATGCCACGGCTGCTTCTCCCCCCCTTCTGCCCCCCAAAAACGACACCGACTTTGCGCCGGGGAGGAAGCCGATTTCGTTTCCGTGCCGCTTTCGATGCCTCCCAAGCTAACGAAGCCGGGGGTGTTCGCTGAGAGCCGAGCGAAGCGATCGCTTCTCCCGCAGCGCTTTTCAGCGGGTTTTTGTTCCTAGAGGGACCACCGGGGAAAAAACAAAAAAAAAAAAGAAAAAAAAAAAAGGAAAAAAAAAAAGGAAAAAAAAAAAAAAAAAAGGAAAAAAAAAAAAAAGGAATAAAAAGGGAATAAAAAAAAGAATAAAAAGGAATAAAAATGAAAAAAAAAAAAAAAGGAAAAAAAGAAATCGGGAGCTTTCCCAGTTCGGAGGCTGCACCTGATCCGTTTGAACCCCTCCCGGCCGGGGGTGGCTCGGAGCTGCCGTCGGGCAGGGGCAGGAGCGGGGAGGCTGCCCGAGGGGGCTCCGGGAAGCCGAGCCTCCCTCCGGGAAGGGCAGAGAGATTTTACACGCCAGGAGGAGCGGAGGCTTTGGGCTCCCCTCGCCGGCCGCGCAAACGTGAAACGGGAGTTTTCAGTGGGGATGGGGATGGGGGTGGGGGGGGGGGGAGGAAATAAATGAATTAAGCGTGTCCTTGGCTGCCCGCGTTTCTGTCCTTGGGGCCGCTCCGCCGAGCCAAATCCATTTTCCCGGCGCTTTCTGCGGAAGGCGAGGGAGCGGGCGGCATTCCCGGCTCCTGCCGGGCTGTTCCCGAGAACTGGCAACGAGTTGCGCGGGTGCGCAGCCCCCTCGGGGCGCATCGCCCCCCGCCCCGCTGCGCGCCCGCGGAGCCCAAGTGAGAGCAGCTGGTGGGCAATGCAAATGGCTCCCGGGGAAAACATCAGCCTGGGGGGGGGGGATTGGGGGATTTTCATCGCCTCCAAGAGCGGGTGGAAGGAGCTGGACATACGTTCCACGCTCCTAATCCTTCTTTTACATTTTTAGTCATACTCCTATTAAACAACTAATTAATGCCCGGAGTCACCGGGGAATACATTAGCCATGCTGCCGGGGAAGAGGGGGTCCAGGGTGGCTGGAAACCGCGGAGCCGACTTAATACCCGGATTTCCATTTTCCACCCCCCTTCTGTCGAGGCGTTAAATGTGATCGCAGCCGGCCGGCCGAGCGGAGGCCGCGGTGTCGGTATTTAGAGCCCGGCCCCCCCGGCCCCGACACCCCCGAGGGGCTGGCACCCACTCCGGCCTCCCTCCTTCCCCGGCCTCCCTCCGTCCTGCCCGGCCCTCCCGGCGGGGTTTTGCCCCGGGAACGGGGGAAATGGAAGGGAATCAAATAAAGAAAAAATTAAGAAAGGAAAAAAACGGGCCACCCACCCAAAGCAGGCAGGCGCTGCCCGGCCGGAGCGCCGCGTTTCAGGCATCCCTCGGCATCATCCAGCGGCCGAGGGAGCGGAGGACAGGGGAGTTATCCCGGGCAGTGCGGGGCAGCTCCCCACCAGTTACTTTCTTCATCCCCGGACCGTGATCGCAGCCCTCGCAAGCAGCCCTTTCCCTCTGCCCCCCTCAGCCTCCCCTCCCACCCCTCCGAGCTCCTTATCTGCCGGCGGAGGAGTAGGTAAATACCTACAGCTCGCCGCGTTTAACGCGCTCAGACATTATCGATCTGCCGGGCTGCCCGCAGGTTTTCTCCCTGCCCAGATCTGCTTTCCGACCCTCTCGTCCGGCCGGCCGATAATTGTTCAAAAATTCAGCGTTTCGTGCGGACCCGCCGATTTGCATATAAATGAAAAAGACCGCGCCTGGCGGGTTTTATAAGCGTTGCGAAATTAGCGCTTAACCACTTGAGCTAAAGGAACGTATAAACGTCCGTATTGAGTCCCCTAATGAGTCCCCTAATTAAAAGGTCCCGGGTTTTGCTGCCGCTCGTTAGCAGGCTGCTTCCACCGGGGCGCACCGGGAGCGAGGACCGGGTGCGAAGCGGAGCGGGGCGATCCCCGTTAGCACGCAGCACCCCGAGCTCCGCACCGCCACTCCTGCGTTTGTTTGTCCTCGCTTCGATCCCTCACCCCTCTCCCGTTATTATATATATATTATATATATATATTTTTTTTTTTTCCCGAAGGAGAGGGAAGAAGAGGCAGCGGCAGCACCGCAGGGCTGCTCGGAGCCCCTGCTCTCCGGTGGCCCCGGGTGGCAGCCGCACGGCGACAGATCTGCGAGCACAGAGCTTACCTCCGGCATGAGACCAGCAAGAAAAGGCAGCTCCTCGGCGAGAGGCAGTGCGAAGGCGAGAGAAGTTCAGGGAAGAAGAAAAAAAAAAAAAAATAGAAAGAGCGGCGGTGCGAAAATCTGTAGCCTCGGGGGCTAGCCGGCAGCCCCTTTCATTTCAAGCGCTTATTGATTTGCTGTTGTCATCTTTGGCGACGCAGAAGGACACTTGAAAGAATTTCTGATGGGGCTCTGATCTGAGAAACGAGGTGACCTGACCGGGCTCTCACCAAATTCTTAATTACCGCATCAACTGCCTTAAAAATAAAAACGGAGCGGGGGGAGGGAAGGGAAGAAGAAGGGGGGTGGTGTGTGTGAGGGGGGAGAATCTTTGACAGCAGCACAGTTTGCTCACCGAGAACTTTTTTTAACCATTCCGAAACTCCCCTTGCCTCCCGCTGCCACCGCAGCCTTGCAGCCGTCGCCCCCTTCCCCCGCAGCCCCGAGCCGGGGTCCCAAGGGTGCGGGGTCCCAGGGGTGCGGGGATGGGGGGGTTGCCCCCGTCCCCCCCGGGCTGCAGGAGGCAGTTCGGATGCAGAGGGGTGAGGACTAAAAAGAGGGAGAGGTCAGGACACGGAGTGCGTGTGCGTGTCTGCAGGGGGTATCACTGAAACTGGATGTATAGGGCTTGAGGAGGAGAGCCAAAAGGACGACTGGGATGAGGGAATCGACACGAGAAACCTGTTACCGACGGCATCAGAGCGAGCATCGTGCTCAGTGTTGCTTGTAGGCAGACATACAGCGCTGACAGATGTCAGCAGGGCTCTTCAGCAGGGCTGGAGAGAAATACGCTGCCTTTGTCCCACATGGTGTGCACACACAGGCACATTCCTTCTTCTTCCTGCTCTGGCTGCTGTTTCTCCAGGACAATGCAAACCATCCTTTCTGGGCATCTTCCCCCTCCCTCACTCCTTTTTTTTTTTTTTTTTTTTTTTCCCCTTCTCTGTTTCAAATATATTTGCTTTTTATTTCGGTGTAAGGAAGCTGTGGGATGGGATTAGCACCTACCTTGGCCTCTCTCATTCTGTCCACCCCACAGCAGCATCCAGACCCAGGCTGGGAATGCTCAGCTGGCTTTTGCTTAGTGCTTTGGCTACCCTTGTTAGTTTTGTGGGGGCACTGTCCTTTCTCAGCAAATGCCAGTCCAACCAGTTCACGTCTCCCCTCTGGGCAGGGCTGGTAACTTCCCTGTTGTCGGTGTGTGCCACCCATCGGTGTGTGTCCCCCTCCAGTGGGTCAGCTGCTGAGCTATGGCAACCAGAATTGCCTGGTTAGACCCAAGCCTTACATTCTCTGTTGAGCCTCAGCTCCTCAAAGTCTGGTTTGTACGGGGGCAACACTTATCAATAAGGATTAGGCGGCCTAGCACTAGTTTTCAAGCCTCATTGTATGGCTTCAGTCATTTGTGACAGGACTTTTCAGCCCATAGCTTGCTCATATCCCGTGTCCAGCACAGTATACTTAACATGTCTGTCTGCTCCCTACGTGTCTGACTCTGCAATACTGTCACTGGACTTCCTTGTCAATAGTGTCATGTTGTAGCCCAGGGAATGAATGAAACTACTCCTTGTTATTTTATAGGAGCTGGATCCAAATTTGGGGGATTTGGGAGCTTAGCAGAGAAACCCTAGAAGGGGTGCCACTTAGAGTTTTTTTTGACGTGGCTTTCTATGCTGCTTTGAACATCTCTTCCAAAGCTTACAGAAACCTGGGATCTCTCTGTAGTTGCTAAATTCATTTTCAGCCATACTTGGTAAAATTAGACCTTCTGCTAAGCGCTGCAGGTGTAGGCTGAAGGGGATGTCACATTTTTCAAAAAACAGGTATAGAGCAACAGAGCCGCTACTGTTGGAGTGTCCCAGCTTACCGGCCTCTCTCTTGCTCTTGTCCGGAAAGCATGCAGATGTCACACCTTCTGTCTGCCACGGCGTGCAGGGACTCATTCCTCATGCTGTGAGTGCTCGCAGTATTTGTGCTCACCCTCTTCAGGGAGCCTCTGTCACGCTTGTCACATAACCGCTTCTCCTGTATTTTGCTTGATTTTTTTTTTGGTGCCATTCCATCCCACAAGCTGCGAAATGTTCAGCCTAAAGTGTACGTGTGTGGTACCTGGCTGTGGGCTGTAAATGCTTCTGAAGGAGAAGAGGGAAAGTGATGATCCCTAATCATCCAAATATTATTTTGTTCCAAAAGAGAGTATTTCTTCTTACTTTTATGTTGTTTATTGGGTGTGAAGTAACTATGAAGAAGCACACTGAAGAAGATGAGGTATATCTGCATCATTTACGCCTCGCTCTCCTCTCATACAGTTTTGTGTTCATCCAGTGTGATGATCTGTGTCCAGTCTGTTTGTGGCCTTTGGTGTCTGCTGAACCGTATGTTGCTGTGGCCAAAAAGGTAGATGTGCACAGTAAGTATCCACCTGATTTCATGTTGTCCCTCACAGCAAATAATTTTCTCTTCTTTCTACTTTCCAACACCTTCAAGTTGCCGCTAGTTTTTGTGTAAAACAACTTAGGGCTGAAGAATATGTCAGAAATCTTCCATCTCTCACCACAGATCTCTTCTCCCCACACACACAATTTCTTGCTGAAGAGTCAGACAAGCCTGAGCAAATAGCATCAAAATAAAATTCTCAAAAATGAGTTGATTTGCTAAGAGAGTTAAGTTTGGTTTTTTTTTTTTTTTTTTTTTTTTTTTTTTTTTTTTTTTTCCCTTAGCAAAAGTAGAAACTGTCCTTATAAAACACCCACCTCGAACTTAGCCTTGGTCACTGAGATCACTGCGGTAGTGCTCCAACTGCAGCTTACACCACAATATTTAAAGTACTGAGGGTCTTCTCTGTGGTCACGTTCCCTTCCCTTGCTTCACCTCCCACCAGCTGTGGAGGGAAAAAGCTGACATTTCAGGTTGCACACCCTTTTCTGCCGAAACACCCTCTGTGCTGGAAGGTGACAGGCGGTGTGGCATGGATGCGGCCACCTGCACTGTCAAGATGGCACGTCCATGAGGGAAATGGCACTGGGCTTCCCTGAAAGCCATTTTCTGGCTGTGGTAGGGCAAGACAATGTGTAGGTTGCCCCCCAGACACAGTTTCTTCAGGCTGTCCCTGCCTGGTGTGGGTCACCACAGACCCTCAGAGGTGTCCCTGTCACAATATGGCCATAGTCTCTCAGGCGCATGTACTCCCCATTCACCATGGAGGCCCCAGAGTACGTCTCCCACCCCATGGCTGCAATCTTTTCTTGGTAAACATGTTTGGAAAGGGGTGCTGTGTGCATTTGAGACACTCTGAAGTATCAGAGCAGAAGATTTTGAAGCACAATGGCCAGGTCCCGCTGCCCGTCTGGAACCAGCCGTGACCGGCCTGGGCCGGCTCACGATCACCTCACGGGCAGCCGCCTGGCAAACCTGCCGCCATCATGGCGCCACCGCCACCACCTCGCTGCCACCGCCGCCGCCGTGCCTCCTCACGGGGAAACGGGTACGGGCATGCCATCGCCGAGCAGTTTCCTGCTGGGTGTGACAGAGAAGAGCAGCACCCAGCACTGGCCCGGCCTAGTGCCTCGGCCTTCCCCAAAATGCCCCGAAAAGGTTAAAATATTAAGCGGCGATTGGGGAAATCGCTCGTCTAAGGGCAAATGCGGTGGCATCCAGAGGGTTGTTCTCTGTCTGGGAGCTCGGCCAAGCCCGCTTACTCGCTGTAACGTAGCGTGTCAAAGAGCTGGCTCCTTATTAGACAGTGCTTTTAAAAAGTGTTTCGCTTGGAAAAGTAGTGGTAAATTTTCTTCACCAGTTCAACACTGCTTCATTTTTTTTTTCCTTCCCCGTTTACTACTTTTATATGAAGCAGTTCTGGCATCCCCCATCAGAGAAAATGTTAAATGCTTTTAGAAAAATATTTGTTCTGATGGAATTTATGATGTGATCTGTTATTCAAATTTATGGTTAGCTTAACATGGTAGGTTAGATAAAATGGCTCCTGATGACATCGTGGCAATCACATAAAGCCATACTTTTAGGCATGTTTGGACAGCTTATCAAAATGTGTTTGGAAACAGAATGTAGGTATAATAAAATGCAGGGTAAAGTTGGAAAGATATCCTGGTTAAAAAAAAAAATAGAAAAAAAAAATACCACTAGCAAAACACCCAAGCCATAAACTGAAAGACAAGTTTATAGGTAGACTATAGGAGTGTCTTCATTTCCCCCAGGCAGAAAGACATTGACTCGAAGAGGACAGATAAAGGGTTCTTAGTGCTCCTTTTTGGCAAGCATCGAGGAAAACAAACCAAACAACAACAACAACAACACAACCCCATGACCCAAACTTTTGGTGTGTCCAAACCACTCGAGTAGACAAGGAAGGGGAAGAGGAGAACCCCTGAGCAGGTTTCTCTCCCTTCAGGAGCCTTGCCTCCCAGGACAGCGAGGTGCCAGCATTACCCTGCCCTCCTGAGCACACATGAGGTCCATTACAATGCGTAGCCCGCTCCTTTCCTGCTGCATTCGCTGGCGGTATTGGTGCAGCCTTGTGAGGACAGCCTGCCATGTAAAACACTTCTCCACTCAGCCAGGCCATCCCCGATCTGCCGACCGTAACTAACTATGCTCCGTGGATTATCGAGGAATGTGTGTTTATGGAGTCGCTCGCGGTAACTGCAGCCATCGATCTCACGACTGAACTCTTTCCACACGGGCGTATCTCACTTTTTCCGTCTGCTGTCTACTGCCTTTATTTTGCAGGCTTTTCCCGTCCTGGACTGGGTTTACTCATGCCACCATTTCTGGGGATAAGAGTCACGCTGCCTTCCTGTGTTTAGCGCTGCGCTCCTTAAATGACCATATTCCCCATGTACCCTTTGGGGAGAAAAGAAAGAGGCCTTTTAAATTTGGCAGACAAAAATTGCAGGGGTCATAAGGAGATCTTTCTGCAGCTGATTTCTCTGTCTCTGCCTGCTCCTGGGCAGTTATAGCTGATTCTGGTTATTGTTTCCCCTCCTGATTTCTGAGACCAAACATTTTCACACAGCCCATTTGACTTTAATTTATTTTCCTTTTTGCCTCAGAGCACTGGGAACACAGGGGCGATGAATACTTTGTGGCAACCACCTCGCCATGAAATGAAAGCCCAAATTAAAGCAGGGAGGCTCAGAAAACACTGCGTAGTAAGAACAGCCAGGAAGTTATTTCTGTCCTCTTGGATTTTAAAAGCTACTGAACATACCTGTGATTATAAGTGAGCTGTAGGTCAATAAAAATGTCTGTTAGTGCTTTCATTATAATCTCAGTTGTTGGGAGTTTACATAGCACAAACATTTGCTTTGTGGTAAAAGTACAGCATGTAAGCCTTTTGATCTACAAGCAGTGAAAAAAATAACTTTTTTTTTTTGCTTTGTTTTCATTCCCCCCAAACACTCTTTACAAACTGAGTTACAGCAGGAGCAATCTGATGTTTGAGCTATAAAACATGGCATGAATATAGATGACACTGGCCACTCCCACTTTGCTTGGTTTGGGGGAAAAATCCTTTTAAAAGGCACGATAAGATCTCTTCTGAGTACGCTCAGTAGCAGACTGCACTGTCTCTGCAAAGAGATGGGAAGCCTGAAAAATAGGCTTCTCCTTTTGTCAAGCCGTGCGATGAGTAATAGGCAGAGGCACTGAGGCACTCCCTCTGCTGCTCTGAGACCTACAAGAGGGCAGAGAGAGGCTCAAGATACGGTGAGTGTGAAGATTCTGAGATTCTTCAGTTCACACAGGGTGAGAGAGCAAAAAAAAAAAAAAAAGTCTCAAGTTGCATTTCATTTTTATTTTTATTTTTCAGTTAAAAAGGCTCCTCTTCTCCCATGAAAAAGGAAGGCAGCCCACTTGTGGCTTCTCCAGGCCTTCCCAAAGAAATCAGCAATGAAATGTTGAACAGCTGGGCTCCTTCTTGGCACTTCATAGACAAGGGGGTGAGAGGAAAAAAGATTTCCAGATACTAAAGCAGGAACTGCAGCTGCTACCATGGCAGAAGTTTTCCTGGGAACAAGCAGGTAGGCAGCTTAGTAGTGACTGGGCAGGCTGAAAGAGTGGCAGTGAGCAGAGAAATGGGTGTGATACACAGCAGCATTGCTGTCTGCCAAACTCTGGCTCTTCCCGGTACCCGAAAAGGCCCAGCAATGTCAGCTTATGTGCAGCAGAGGCAGTACCTGCCCAGTCTGTATCAAATGTCAGGCTGTTTCTTTAGGAAGCCTGTCTGTGCGTTTTTCCTAATCTCCTGAAGCACAATGAAACACAAAGCGTTCCACTTCGGGACTGCTTGTCACGCCTGCTGAGCTATGGTACAAACAGTAAGTAATCCTGTATTTGCAGATGATATGAAGATATAAAGGGAAGGCGTATTTAGGTCACTTAAGCATTCCTTAAGTTTTTTGTGCTTGACTTAGAAGGATGAACTACGGAGTTGATTATGATCTTCCTGTCCCAGTGTCCTGCCAGAGGACGCGGTTTTTGAGCCTCTTTCCTTGTCTCTCTGGTCTCTCTCTCCCACACCAGCTCTCCAGACTCTGGGTCTCACACATCTACTCCAGCCACCCATTTGGGGAATGTTTACACATAGTTTCTATGAGGATTAGAATTTAGCCTGATGTATTTTCCTATGGAAAACTCACCCCAGTGCAGAACCAGACCTCCCCCAAAACGCTAGGTCTTACTTAAAAATTGTTGATATGCTGAAACTTCTCAAGATTTGACACATTTTTATTTATGTATAATTTTTCAATGTAGGAAAAATACTTTGCAAAATATTTGTCTTCTTCTGATAAATGTCAGGCTTATCAAAGGTTGACTTTTTTTCCTCTTAGAATGCTCTTTTAGCACACAGACACATTGTCTTCTTGCTTAAAATTTAGTATTTTTACAGGCAACCAAAAAGAATGGTCTTGCAACAGGCAGTTTAAGGGAACTGTAAATAATAGAGAAAAATACACCCATCAGTAATCAACAGCACCGTTTCTGTAACTCTTAACACCTGCTGACCCAGTCAGGTGTTGGATCTTGAAATACCAGCTCTGAGAGGACTATTTTTGTTGGAGGATGAGGATTTCTTCATTTTGAGAAGTTGAGGGTTTAAACAGGCTCTGTTCTACCCTTAAAATATTATTATTATATTATACTAATATATTTCTTTTTTTGTTTGTTTGTTTTTAGTGATTAGAATTCTCTGCTTTTTCCTTCTCTTTTATATCCTAAAGCCTAGTGAGAGCATGCATAGGTAAGGGTGTATATATATTTACCTGGAAGACCTGATACTCCTGAAGGATTTGATGTTTGCTGGAAGTTTCTTCTTTTCCCCTTGAGGTAATTTAGTTTCTTGCACATCCTAATAACAAACAGAACAAGGTTTTGAGTTTATAACCAGAAAAGAACTTTAAAACTAAGTAACTCAGTTGAAGAAGTTATGCTGTGGATATTATAAATTAATAGTGCTGATGTCTCGCCCTGCGTCTCTCTCAAAGTTGACAACTTTGTGTGGATGGCCAAGGTAGTTCATGTCTCTTAATAGCTGCATTGTGTAAACTAGGGGAGACTAAAGCATTTTTGCTGGTGGGATGCGAACTTTGTCTTCTGGATAGCAAATGTGACAAAAAGGGAATTGGGATGCACTACGTGTACATGGAGTAGGCTGGGTCAGCCTACTGTCAACAGGATTTTACCTATGGAAGATGTAGTAGGTAAAAATCTGTAGGCTGTTCTTAGCTAAGTATATTTCTACTGTGCTTAAAACTTCTGCTTCTCTGTAGTCTCAAGACCTTCCTTGGCACTAGGTTTGGCAACTTCTGTCTATAACTGAAACACCAAGTTTCTGCTTTTATGTTATTTCACTAGCTCTCTAGGTGGCATAAAGTTTTCAAGGGAAAGTGGCACCAGGGATTTTTAGGACTTTTTTATTTCTGCTCTTTAGTACAATGGCCCTCTGTTTTACCTGACATTTTTTTTTGTTGTTGTTGTTGCAAAAAAGGAAGGCAAATATACTTCCCTTTTTCATGTCTCCGTTCTGCCTGTATTATTAAGGCCTCTGATACTAAACTGAGTTCATTCAGATTGTAGCATTTCTTATCTAACAGTGTTAATACTTTGACTAGATGTAAATGAATTCGTAAGAGACTTGTACAGTATTCTTATAACAGCAAGTAACTGAAAACAGTTCATCTGCTGTGTCTCTTCTTGTTATATCCTTGTTTTAAATATGTTGAGCTTATCTCTGCTCTTCTCTTCCTAAAGGTTAGACAGGCCTAGTTTTAGAAGTAATGTGATTTTTTTTTTTAAGCAAAATAAATCTGGATTTTAGTGTATTGGGGAATTTTAAGCTTATGGAAGCAGGCTAGGATTTTAAAAAGATATTTAGCAAAGCTTAGCATTTTAAATCATTGAGCTGCTATGTTTATTAGGAATATTATACAATAGATTCAATTACAAGTATTTTGCAAATATTTTCTTGAGATTAAAACACATCTGCATATTCTTCTTGAATAAAAGGAACTGATAAACTTCTAATTCAACCCACAGTTTGAAAATCATTTTGTTTGATGTGCAAGCTAAAATATCAATTGGGTATCTGGAGGCTGCTGCATCTTTGATGGGTGTTTGTTAAAAGCACCTGTGATATTAAAATGTACCCTTCAGTTCTGCACACAGCCTGACCTGATGGGAAGGAATGACATGTAGCAATAAGAATACGTGTAGAAGAGTCAAAATTTGAGTACTATCTGCAGCTGTGCTAAGTGGTTGGTGCTCCTACTAGTGTCAATAAAATAAAGATGTGGTGGGAGGGCACAACTATAGAATTTACTCTTCCTACTCAGATGACTGCGATAGCAGTGCTACTTTTACTTTGCAATCCTGGAAGCTAATACTTTCTTCTATCTGCAAAATATTTTTTTTTTTTAATAGAAACTGAACTCTGTAATCAGAGAAGAACGTGACTTGGAGGCAAAAATGCAAGATCATGGTTAGAATGCTGATCTCCTCCCACCCTACTTCCACACCCACTTTCCTTTTGCCCTACTGTATGTGACCAATATTAGGAAGATTCAATGGGGACTTATAGGTTTCTGTTAATATTTATTAAGTGAGCGTACTCTTATCATTGTTGTTTGAAGTCTTGGATCATTTCTAGTGCACCAAGACAGAGCTTCCTTGGTTCTTGTGCTGATAGATGCTGTCAATTGTTGTACAGAACCAGGACACTTTCAGATCCCACAGCTGAAGGCTGCCATATACTTCCAGCATGTTCTTGTCTGCTTGAAGAAGTTCACAGCTGGTTAGTTGAATGATTGCTTCTAGTAAAAATGGAAGGATTTCCCTCCTTTGTTCTGCAGATGCTATTTGCTCTAGTGAGCTAGCAGAGTGGGAGAACAGGATGATGAGGCACAAAGTGGAGAAAAATATTAATTGAAGACCCCCAAATGCCGGGTTTGGAGGCTTGTGTAAGTCATGATTCAAAATCAGAGGAGGATTCATGTTTTCTTTTCTGAAGCAGAGTTTCCTGCCATACTCACAATTTGATACTTATAAGAGAAGTGAAATGACCCCCCTCCCCATAGTACCTGAATAATTGATGTGACGCAGTTTTAAAAATAGTTTTCCTCATTCAGAGATTGTTCTTTGCTACTCATGAAAGCCAAGCATTTTGTACTGGCTCAAAGAAAATGCCTAAAATTCCTCGTTGCCTTTGAAAGTCCTTGGTTTTTCAGGCAAATTTTATGATTATCGAGAGATGTTGTGTTTTCACAGAGTATTCTTGTTCATTTTGCAAGCATCTGTTTTTAAAAATAATTATCAGCTAGAAGAAAATAGTAGTTAATGGCTTAGTTTCTTGGCCTGGACAAACTCTTGTTTCCTTTTGTTATTAGTTCTGTGTCATCACAAAAAGTAGGCTAACTTTATTGTGAGTTTGTCTTTTTTTTTTTTTCCTTGACATATTGGGATGAATAGCTCAACATAACAAATTATTCTATGTGCTTTAGTTTCAAGTTTTTCATGTAGAATCCAAGTTCTAGCATCAGGATTCAATTAAATGATAGTTTGATTTGACTGAAAAATTAATGGTCCAGAACAGAAACCCTCTAGTATTTTTTTTGAAGTTCTTATTTTCAGTACTTCTGTTTTAAATAAAAATCTGGACTCAGCCCAGTAACATAAAGCTACATGTTCTCTCATCAGCTAAACATACATAATGATTAAATTTAACAGTGATTGTTTGCTTATTGCTCCTTTTGGCTGCATAGGTATCTCTTTGCATACATAAAACTAATTCCCTGGCTATAAGTGGCACTGTACTGAGTTGCTGTGAAAAGTTTGTTGCTACTGTCTGTTGCCCTTTTCAGGAAATAATGATTTGCCAAGTACAAATCATATTCTATAATTATATGTCATCTTCAATGACAGCTTGAACATTCAACTCCTGTTTACGCTCGAATCAGACATATTGATTTTTCATTTTAATGATAAACAGATTGGCATGTAATACATTTGATGATACATCTGCTTAAAACGTGTTAAGATCCCTGAAGGGGGGAAAAAAAAAAAGGAGTTCCAATGTAGGCTATTGGAGGCATTCAGGCTGAACATAAAACGAGGATGCATGCTACTCTAGGTAATGCACACCAAAAGAGTGCAGTTCCTTTAATCTGGTATCCATGCAGGCATATTTATAATTTGCTTTTCTGGTTTGCAGTCTGTCTTTTGGCCATGAAAGTGTTATTGCAGCCAAGAATACTAGGGGAATTAAGAGGGGAGGAAAAATAAAAGCAAATTACTGGGGCTTTATTTGAAAAATGGTTTTGATTTTGAATTTTGATTTGCTCTCATCAGAATTTACTGCAATTTAAAATGGGCCTTGTCCAAACTGTGCAATTTAACCTCTTGTTACCTGTGCATTTCCTTCTGAGTATTTCTGGCACTGTTTTATTGAGCTGTATGCATGCACCTTAACATTTCACAGTAGTGTGTACGATACTTAACTGTATTAAAAATCTCTCTACTGAATAGTTGCTCTTACAGCATCCCAGTAAGCATGCATCTTTATCTAACTTTCCCTATGGTAAGTGTTAAGTAAACATAATTTAAGATTTCTTTAGAGTATAAACAGATACTTTAAAACACATTTGATCTGAAAATCTCCTGTGGACCTGCATGTGAAACAGAACTTGGCTTTATTGTATACTACCTGAATATTATATAAAATCCCACTATCCACTTTTGGTTTGAGCACGTTCTGGGATGTAAGCTGTATGATTATCAGGTCTGGCAGCAGGTACAAGACAGAAATACGCTTGTGTTCACAGGGTGTATTTACAAAGGCAAACAACTCGTTAGGGTTTTCAATGCTTTGGATAGAGCAATTTTGACCAGAAAATAAACTGGCGTCCTTGAAGGGGAGAATGCAGAAAACCCACCCAAATTGTACTGGTAAACCTAGTTTCCACTGAGACAATAAATAAGTATGTACAATAAGGACAGCACATGATTTCTGTTCTGTAATTTGCAAAATACAGGTTTGAAGACTAGAGAATCTTGAGATGTGTCCTTCTCCGTGCTTCTTGTCACGGAGAACATCATGACACTCGTCAATCAGTCAGGCCAGCAGATGTGCTCTGTGTTGAAGTATCATTGTGCAAGAATGATTTTTAAGGCTGCTTCCTCCTTTGGACTTGCATAATTTGGCACCTAAAGGCAAGTGGTTTGGAGCCCCATACCACAGATAGATGTCCTCTTTACTTTTTTTAATAAGCGTGAATGGTTTCAAAGCAACACCAGTCATTTTACTGCTCAAAGTGTGGTAAGCCCTCGATACCTGACTTTTTGTATTCCCTATCACCTGTTCCCTGACAGTCTCTCTAGTAGGCCCCTCATAGACTGGCCTTGGTATATTGGACCCTTAAGTCTGTTCTTCAACACAAAGGTGATGTGTCGATTGCTCTGAGGGATCCAAGGGTACCAGATGTCCTCAGTTTGTTGCTGATGTAATTCTTTTTTGACCCTGTGCTCTTCTGTCTGCATTCTGCCAACCCTGTTCTTTCAGTTCTTCCTCAGTTTTCTTTGATCTCATTCCCTTGTATTTTCAGGATGCTGCTCTTATAAGTACATCTATATTTGATCACGCCAAAGGTACATCTCTGGACAGGTTCTATGCTCGTTGAGCGTGGCCCATCACAATGCTACTTCCATCAGTGAGGATGAGAAGAGGTGAAGACTCGATAGATTCAGTGTGTTCCTGAGCTTCATTCGACTGCTCCTGTGCAAAGCCTAGGAAGCGCAGTATCCATGTTTGCCTAAAAAACTTGTAAATTGAGTAT